AAGTCCGGTTCGCTACATGAAACTATAGACCGACGCAACACTAAATTCCCGTACACATGGAAAATCACTGTGTACCGGCTTCCGGATCCTTGAGATATCCGTACGTCCGGAAGGTAAATGTGGGGAAAGCCATTGTACAGAAAACGCACGGTTGGCCGCACCCCCCTCCGGAGAAGTTGATGTGCCAGGACATCACGCAGTGAAGAATTTAGCTGAGCGTTTAGTGTATTTTTAAAGCATTTTTAACGCAAAATAAAATGTTCCCCTCACTACCAGCGTGCGACTTGGCATGAGCCGTCTCCCCCACGAAAGGCGCGTGAGTTGGGATGGTCATGCACATGAATAAATAATAAGTATAACCCGTAAAAAGAAAGTTTTTCACTCAAAAATCTTTATATGCGTGGCAGCGAACTTAATATAAAGGATTGAAAAATATATTCGCCTGTGAAGGACGCGGGGATCGATCCCGCAACTTTTGGCATGGGAAGCGCCGAGCGGCGCGGTGAAATTAATAAATAAAGTTGAATATCACTAAATCGATCATTAAACCACTTTAAAGGTGACGGATAAAAAACTGACATGCCTATTCCCATCGCGGGGCACGGGACGTGCCTCCCGGCAAATCCCTCGCAAGCGAGCGTACACAGACGGACAGACAATTTTAGAGTACGACGTTTGGCTGGTAATTGCATCCAGCATCAGCGAAACGTCGTACTCTGAAATGGTAGTTGTTGTGGTTTTACGCTTGAACACACCGGTGGGCTAAAGCAGTGAACTATTAGTCTTTTATCAACGGGACACTTTTTTACTGATTGGCCGTCTCTGGTGGTGGAGGGTTACAACACATTAATAAATAAGGCGATCTAAACCCAATAACGTTGTTTATGAATAATGGTCGCGAAAGCCTACGTGTTACAAATTGACTCACTTAACTTAATAACCAGGCTACAGTGTACATTATAGACTGCCAGTACACCCACCCAGCTTAATAACCAGGCTACAGTCTACATTATAGACTGGCAGTACGCTCAGCCAGCTTAATGACTATTTGTAGAGTCAACATTTAAAGAATGGATTCTTGGCGCGTCGTGTTTAAAAGTAATGACACCGTTGTTTTTTCATCAAAAACGGTAATTGTTGTGGTTTCACGCTTGAACACACCGGTGGGCTAAAGCAGTGAACTATTTGTCTTTTATAAACGTGACACTTTTTTACTGATTGGCCGTGTCGGGTGGTGGAGGGTTACAACACATTAATAAATAAGGCGATCTAAACCCAATAACGTTGTTTATGAATAATGGTCGCGAAAGCCTACGTGTTACAAATTGACTAACTTTACTTAATAACCAGGCTACAGTCTACATTATAGACTGCCAGTACACCCACCCAGCTTAGTAACCAGGCTACAGTGTACATTATAGACTGCCAGTACGCTCACCCAGCTTAATGACTATTTGTACAGTCAACATTTAAAGAATCGATTCTTGGCGCGTCCGGTTTAAAAGTAATTACACAGTTGTTTTTTCATCAGAAATGGTAATTATTGTGGTTTAACGCTTGAACACACCGGTGGGCTAAAGCAGTGAACTATTAGTCTTTTATGAACGTGACACTTTTTTACTGATTGGTCATGTCGGGTGGTGGAGGGTTAGAACACATTAATAAATAAGGCGATCTAAACCCAATAAAGTTGTTTATGAATAATGGTCGCGAAAGCCTACGTGTTACAAATTGACTAACTTTACTTAATAACCAGGCTACAGTCTACATTATAGACTGCCAGTACACCCACCCAGCTTAATAACCAGGCTACAGTCTACATTATAGACTGCCAGTACGCTCACCCAGCTTAATGACTATTTGTAGAGTCAACATTTAAAGAATGGATTCTTGGCGCGTCGTGTTTAAAAGTAATGACACAGTTGTTTTTTCATCGGAAATGGTAATTGTTGTGGTTTCACGCTTGAACACACCGGTGGGCTAAAGCAGTGAACTATTAGTCTTTTATGAACGTGACACTTTTTTACTCATTGGCCGTGTCGGGTGGTGGAGGGTTACAACACATTAATAAATAAGGCGATTTAAACCCAATAACGTTGTTTATGAATAATGGTCGCAAAAGCCTACGTGTTACAAATTGACTAACTTTACTTAATAACCAGGCTACAGTCTACATTATAGACTGCCAGTACACCCACCCAGCTTAATAAGCAGGCGACAGTCTACATTATAGACTGGCAGTACGCTCACCCAGCTTAATAACCAGGCTACAGTCTACATTATAGACTGCCAGTACACTCACCCAATTTAATAACCAGGCTACAGTCTACATTATAGACTGTCAGTACGCTCACCCAGCTTAATGACTATTTGTACAGTCAACATTTAAAGAATCGATTCTTGGCGCGTGGGGTTTAAAAGTAATTACACAGTTGTTTTTTCATTGGTATGTAATGTTTGAAAGTTTTCAGAAGATTGTAAATGTATTTTCCCCCCGGGCAACGCTGGGTATATCGAGTTTATACCACAAAGTCGTCGCTTGGCATGGGTGGGGTGTCGAGGCCTAGTACCGTGCAGAGCCTCCGGCCTCGCCTAAATTGCCCACCCGGCTGAGGCTGGGTACGGGTGCCGTTCCCCCCTCCCCCCCCCCCGCGCTACAATAATACTGTCTAATCGCTATAATTTTATTATCTACCGAGCCTATAATAGCAATTGCACACATTGTGGTGGGGGGGGGAGTGAAGAGGACGTGAAACTTTGATGAATTTACCTCAGAGTCGCGTGGTGGGTGTCGAGGCCTAGTACCGTGCAGAGCCTCCGGCCTCGCCTAAATTGCCCACCCGGCTGAGGCTGGGTACGGGTGGCGTCCCCCCCCCCCCCCCCCGCGCTACAATAATACTGTCTAATCGCTATAATTTTATTATCTAGCGACCCTATAATAGTAATTGCACACATTATGGTGGGGGGGGGGAGTGAAGAGGACGTGAAACTTTGATGAATTTACCTCAGAGTCGCGTGTTAATGCGTGCGCCTATTTTTAACGGGAATAAAAAATGGCGTCCACCCTGCAGCGAATGTGTCGCTACCCGTTGCCAGGGGCAACCGCCGTGGAAAACCAAACGGACCAATCGCGTCTCGCAAATCCCTCACATTTCGTCCAATGAAACTGCGTATGGTCCGGCGACACACAGACAGACAGACACACACACAGACACACACACAGACAGACAGACAGATTTGCGATTTTATATATATAGATAACAATATCAGGACGTTTCGATTGCAACACAAGCAATCGTTATCAGCTGAAATAAATATAGCGGGAGAGTTGCTGAGGCTGGAAAAATATATGGCGGGACAGCTGCTAAGGCAGGATGTTATAAAGGTTTGAGATGGGTGTAGCCCAAGGGTAAATGGGCGGGGCTAGAGATGAAATTTGCATGTAAATGTAAGATCGGAGACCTGAGCCATACCCACGATGACGAAGCTGTGGGGGTGGCCATTATATTGTGAGAGATTAGCATGTCAATGTGAGAAATTTGCATGTAAATGTAAAATCGGAGAGAGCTCGGCAAGAGCCACCGCCACATGGAGGAAACGAGAACTGTGGTTGTGTTCGTGAATGTCGAATATAACATCGGCAGGTAGGAAGGGAACATCACAGCCAGTAGTGACCTAAACTGGTTAATAACGTCCTTCCAATGATTGCTCAGTTTGTGCCCATCTTCTCGGTTGAAATTGTGTCTGTGTTTTTATATCTGGATGGCTTCATTTGATGGTAGCCCGAAAGTTTGCAGAGTACGTTGGTCTCGGAAAAAAACAATATCGTGCGAGCCCACTGCGTTATACTCAAAACATTTGTAAATGTTCTACACTTCATGGCAAACTTAAATTACATCATTATCAACATTTTCCCTTCTACTACTAATGATTTAAAATAATTTAGACATACATTGTATCACACAAAGAAACTTTTATCAAACAAAAAAATTCTAAAGCAACTCATTATGCATAAAAAATATTAAAGGAGCGCCCCACGGTTTTATTTTTTAGTTAAAATGTCCAAAAATATTCTGATCAGCTGGTGACGGCTGAAAATAAATTATTTTTTACTTTTTAGTGCACTTTAAAATAAAACCGTTGGTTTAAAAAAAAGTATTTTTTAAGGAGTTTATTAGTACATTGATATGACAACTCAAAGCGGTTGCTGGTTCAAACGCGATGACGTCACCAGAGATGACGCGCAAGACGTCACAGAACAAGTATGGGTGCCCCTATTGCTGAAGCACACAAATCATAACGTCTAGACTTCCCGATTGATCTGATAATCATTGATCGGGCTATATTTTTACATTTCAGCTCTCTAGCCCTTCTAGAAAATTAAACGTACAGTGTATCACATACGACCGTCTATATACGATATCATACTGTGTTGTATGCCCATGATTTCATACATTTTAATATATTTGTTTAAATCACACTGAATTCAATATTCATCATCAGCCATGTTCAGTCCACTTCCTCTCCAAGCCGCTACCTCTCCAGATCCTGCGATATTAATAATCCACTCAGCACCAGCACACGGGACTATTTAATCGCTCCGTCTCCTCGATGGATGTCCTCTCGGACGCAATCCATCCCTTCATGCAAATAACGTGTTGATTCTGCGATGGCAGTGGCGCAAAAGCACAAAATAAACAAACACCCCATTAGTCAATAACAATGCCATTAAAATATTTATGTAAAACAATGAATAACTGGCGACGTTTCGGGCATCGGCCCTTTTTTCCCATCACAAATATCCTCGATTACGTTTTGACGACACAATCGCAACACGTTTTTATCTCCCCTAGGTAAAATGGCGGCGCGTTTAACACATGCGCGTGACGTCACTGCCCATCTAACTCTCTCATTGGTCAACGTGACTTGGGGGCGGGGGGTGTGGACGACGCAGCGTGATGCCGCGCGGCGATTGGTTGATTGCCGGGGAACCTACGTCACCTCCTGTCACGTGGCGCGGGGATTTGGCGGGAGGTGTCTGGTGGCGTCTGGTGGCGGGAAAGCGGTCGTCGATTCGCGGAGTTTCGCGTTCAGCAACAAAAAGAGTGGAGGAGTAATAAGCTGCGGGACAGAGGAGACGACGAGGAGGAAGGGGGTGTCGCAGCAGAGGCGTTCGACGGAGACGTTGGTGCAACAAAGTGAACAATGATCGGCCACGGCGGCTACACGAAGTTCGGGATCACGGACGGGGCCGTGGCGGTGAGACTGGGGAGGGGGGAGAGACTCTTCGGCTGCTATCGCTGGCACCGCTGCTCGGTTGACGCACTACGTTTGGCAAGATGTGCAAAAGCACAATTGTACAATATCGAAAGTAAAGTTGTAAATGATAAATACTCAACGCGTCGGTCGATTACTGCCTTAAACAGGCAAAATAAATATTAAAGGTGACGTTCCGGGCAATGGATCTTTTTCATAGCACCGTGACGAGTTGTATTGATATCAATATGGGTGGCAAAAACGGCTTCGGCCTCGACGGCACGACTACTCTACACTTACTGCTGCGACACGTGCTACAACGTGTACGCATATGTAAACACTTGTACACGCGTGTAGACTGCTGTTCTAGCACACGCACTCATGCGCCAGTAAAAAAAAAGCACGACTACAATGTTAAATCCACATGTTAATAGATATTAATGCACAATACACTGCACACACGTGTACGTGTACATATCTATACACATCACCTTTGTCAGTCTGCGGCTGGATCAGAGTCCTACCCCCGTTCGTGTGGTTGGTTCCCTGTGCTTGCTTTGTGGGAGCATAGAAGTACAGTCCGACAATTAACTTCGCTGTACTGCTCCCTCGACTGCTGCACCGCGTAGCCCCCCGTAGCAAGCAGCCGGCCGCAGCTCCCAAGCACTGAGCCAGGCACACAACTGCTGAGCTTCTCTCTAATCTGTTGGGATCGGGCTCATTCCGGCTGATTAGGTCCCAAATCACATGCTAAGTACACATCACGTGCGCATTTATCGTACACAATTTACACATTAGTCCATTCTAACACGCACAAATCAGCGATTATTGTCTGAACCGGTACTGCACCCCCTCCCAATATCAATCCGTACTGACAGTGCGATGAAGTATGGTTAAACACACCCCCCCCCCCATCCATGACCGACATTGCTTGGGGAAGCCTTCATCCAGCTGTGGATTTACAGAGGTCCGTAAATGATTATTCATCTAAACCTGAGCGTAAAGTTACACAAACAGTACAGTCTATAGAACGGTTAAACAGAACCCAGTGTTTGTATCTATGACTGTGGGCCTTCATCCAGCAGTGGAGAGAGATGTACAGATCGCGGCATGCTGCACATCCCTGTCACATCCCTGTGTGTCGATCCACTGCTGGATGAGAGAGGGGGGGAGGAGGGGAGAACCCCGAGTGACGTTTCAGCATCGCGGCCCAGCGAAGGCGCGAAAACGAACCTGCGAAACCCTTTAATGTGTTCACGCCGCTAATTATAAACAACGGAAACATTTTTGTAATCATCGGCCTTACGACAAGAGCGATAACGTATTGCGCAGATCGACGCTGTTGCTGATTGTTCGGGGTGTTGAGGCGGAGTTGAGCGAACACACGAGGCCCTGTGCAGGCCGCGTGGCCTGTGGCGCGTATTGCTAAATTCCCCGAAGCGATCCACTGCTGGATGATGAGAGAGCCTCGCCAAGTCGTTTCGGGGGGGGGGAGCGGTAGTGAAGTCGGTTAGCTACGCTACGAACCCCGCCACCCGAGTTCGATTCCCGCTCGCGGCCAACAACACCAGTGACGATTATCCCGTAGGTCCACTCAGCCTCAAATGAGGACCTGGTGGGGTGTGTAAACATCGCCACTGGGGAGACAAAGGCGGTCGGGCGTGGTGCTGGCCACCCCCATTGTGTACCTTGCCGACCTTCATAGGTGCTACTACTCGCTAACAGCACTTGCCCAACAGTATGTTAAAGGGTATACGGGGGTCTTTGTTTGACCATATTTCACGCGAGTTGGCAGAGTGATCTCGAGTTAAATTGGCGCCATTATCATCATATGACCATACTTCACCACGTTGGTCATTTCGGGTCGGGGTTTATAGGGAAGCGCCCTTAGGTAGAGCACTTTCAGGTATCCACCCGCCACTGATGTTAGACGTGGCCGGGAATCGAACTCATATGGCTGAGGTCACAGGGCAGTTTGCAACACTCCTGCTCTGCCCTTGCCAACAATATACACTGCAAAAAAATCGGTGTAAGTAAAAAAAACACGATACAACCACGCATGCCAACCACACTCCATTATCAACGTGCCCTGGTGCAGCACTACAGCCTGAAATACTCCCAATGAATAGACTACTCTCCTGCCATGAGAGTGTGAAATTTCCACCATTGGCTCGTTGCACCCAATAGACTAATAGTGTCCAGTTCCCCCCCCCCCCCCCCCATCTTCTTCCTTCTCTTAGCCTGGCACCTGGGTTTGGTGCAATTTTACTGCCTGCACAAACTTCAATAGCTGTACCACTTGAGTGGAGGTCTGTTGTGTGTGTGTGTAGCGGTAGTGTGGTGGCTACCTCGCTGCACGACGGAGCTGGTGACATGAGTTTGATTTCCACTCATGGCCAACATTGGTGACGAATATCTGAACCTACTCTGGGCCTCCCCTAGATCGACGCTGCTTCAAATGAGTACTTGGTGCGATGTCTAAACATCGCCACTAGGGGGACAAGGGCGGCCCAGTAAAATGCTGGCCACCCACCTCGTGTTTCTCTTAGAGGTGCTCACGAACAGCACTTGCCCTAACAGTCTGTTAAGGCTAAAACTGGGGAACTTTATATTTGCAACGATGCTAATGCAATTGTGTGGTCACGGTTGGACTGCGTTGTTGTGCATTTCTTTGTTTTTTTCAGCAAATCGTGGAAGGGAAAAACCCCATTAGGCCGGTGGTGCAGGTTCTGGTAAGTGCCAAACAGATCAACCACAACAACAGTTGCATGTTACGCTCCTACGACAGCAGGACTCCAAAACATTCTGGTAAAAATCAATCTTTTCATTGGACACACTTTTATATGCACTCTAAAGTACAAAATACATTATTTTTACCCCAGAATCAATCACATTTGATGTGCTGAATACAAGTGGTTGGCGTCCTTTCGATATGTTTAATTTTTTTTTAAAGCCACCCCACTTTTTTTGTGCACATCAAATGTGATTAATTATGGGGTCAAAATAATGTATTTTGTACTTTAGAGTGCAAATAAAAGTGGGCATTGAAAAGCTTGCTTTTTACCTACTTTTTTATGACCCTGTAGAGATGGAAATGATGGCTTTTGCCTATGTTAACCCTTGTCCATACAATAAATGAAAGCATGCGCATTGCTACATAACAACAGCCTACGTAATGAAAGGTTGACAGCACGCATCACGGCTATTACAATTAGAATAACGGTCATGTCGATTGCAAAGTCATGAAATTAAATTTTGAACAACACGATACGTATAATGCATTTCATTGTAGTATTTGTGATCATTAAGTACCGTACAGTATAAAAGACGGTAAGACACTGCAACGCTATAACAATGCACGCATATGGACAACTGCATATCGCGAGACCGTATTCAACATGCACAGATTTAGCACTTTATTTTAGGTAATTTATATCAACTATTTTAATTAGAAATGTTAATAAAAATAGGGAGAAGATTCCGGCATTTCATTGTAAAACCTGATCACGGCTCTCACCTGCTCGCTCACATTCAGCATATTACCATGTCCCTATGCGTGTCACAATGGGTGTGGCAAAGCAAACGATAATACTATTAAGATTTAAACTATATAATCTTTTTAGCAATAGTAGTAATATTATTTGGGTCTTTCGGTAAAGTCACGTAGATAGGATTCAGAGAAAATAACAAAGAACAAGAAACTATTATTTTCTTTGAACCTATCTACGTGACTTTACCGAAAGACCCAAATAATTTGAATTCCTGCAGTCACGAAAGCTTTAAGTCAAGAATAGTAATTATTGTAATTGGTGGTCTCGCATTAAGAGGGTACAACAGCGGCCGCTACGGCGCCATGACGAGTGGCGATGTAAGCGCTCCTTTCATTGGGTCAGAGGCTCCCCAACAGCCACTCTGATAGGACGAGACGATTGCCCTCGTAGCTGGGGGCGACCATTCGAGATTTTAAAAAGGGGGGGGGGGGTAAAAGGAACGAGGATTATTGATTTAAATTAAGTAAAAAACCCGAATAGCGCAGGATCAGTAGGACTTGGACCGTTTTTTAATGAAATCTTGAATTGTCACGCGATGTGAGTCTGTGTATAACATTTCAGCTTGTTAGAATTTGTAGATCCGAAGATATTAAGCGTCAAAGATTATAAAGAATATAAACAGACACACGGCAAGTTCAATGAAAGTGTAATAAAATCTGTGGTGATTGGAGATCGCATCGCAAATCCTGAAATCCACGGAGCACCATTGCGCAGATTCATGCCATAATCCGACAAAGGAAAACTAGCACCGATGTGGTGTGTGGCAGATTACAGGAGGAATTCTCCACTTCCGCAAGCGATCCACAAATATTTTTTTGTGAATTTCCTGTCAGTTGTGGAATTTTGGGAATCCTGCTGGTACTGAAATTGCATCGCACCGAGCAATGAAAATAATTTAGAGATTTGTTTAAAAAAATCTTAATTATATAAAGTGCCTTATCGAAATATCCCAAAGTGTCATACATTAAAAAACTACTCAGAAGTATAGATAAACTCCAATTAAAATGCAGTAAAAGCCAATAATAATTACAACTATACTTCCATGAAAGCCAGTAATAGTAATATTTACACTCACAGAACACTCAATTTTCCCATCACAGATTTGAACTTTCGCGCCAAATAGAGATATATAGATCACCGATTGCGCCCCTGTGTGGCTTGACCATCCACGGTTGACCACGAGATGCCCTGTATGCTTCATAAAACATGCTGTACGAGTTATATTTAACACAATCGAAATAATAATATTTGACATAAAAAATACTGTTTCATGTTTGGGGTAATGTAGCGTAACATAAAACAAAAGGAGGGGTGGGTGTCGTATTATGAACCGTGACCCAAACCACATTTTTCCCCATCTGCCTTTGAGTTTGCAGATCACGGAATTTCCGATTACTGCTATGTTCAGGAATGTAATTCCCGCAATGGGCAAAGTTTGGGTGTTTAGATGGAATCCGATTGAAATAGAAAAATCCTAGAATAATTAGTAACAATGACTACACTTGAAGTATAGATAGAATGGAGATCACGCTTCGATAAAAGTCAGTAATAATTACAATCACAATTTAGATGAAATCTGTGCTCATGTTGCAATTGCTCGAACTAAACTGTTCACAGAAGCAATACAAATAAAACAATACAAAAGAGATGATAAAACAAAGTCGTTAATCGATTCTTGAGTTGGATCGTGACCCCAGATTGCGACCCCGGATCGCAAGCTTGGATTGTGACCGATTATTAAATCTCTGGGAGATCGAACCGTCACCAGCTATGCCACGTTTATTTTTGGCGTAGCAATCATTGTCTGACGCTCCAGCGAAATAAATCTACTTTGCAGGATATACACGAATTTGAAAAAAAACATTCTTACACACAAAATGTAATAACCGATGTTAATTAAATTTGCTTATCTTCTTGGTTCTTTCGGTAAAGTCACGTAGAAGGGAAGTAATAAAATAATAAAAATAAAACATAATAAAACAATTCTCACGACGTTTCGGCCACAACGCAAGCAGCCGTCCTCAGGTGAAAACCAGGTCCGTCGAGGCGACAGTGTCTGAATGAAACAGCACACGAGCTTGGAGCATATATATAAGCTGAGCGCATTGACAAAGGAATTTGCATATCAACAGGAATTTAGCATATTTATGGGAAATGCAGGAATGTAATTAGTACTGCATATGCATGTGCATTATGCAGGATTAACAGCATCAAAGGGAGCTGCAGTTACTGCTGCTGCAGCAGTTGCTGCTGCTGCTGCAGTTTCTGCTGCTGCTGCAGTTGCTGCTGCTGCTGCAGTTGCTGCTGCTGCTGCACTTGCTGCTGCTGCTGCACTTGCTGCTGCTGCTGCACTTGCTGCTGCTGCTGCAGTTGCTGCCTTATCCATTTTAATATAACACTATGTATTATTCTACCCACCCTAATGTGTATCATACTGCTATATGTTTACTGTACAATTACGACACCATACATTACTCTGCACACTGCACCATGCCAGTGAGTGGAACGCGGTCTGAAAGTCACCGTTAACGTGAACACAATCAGTTAAGATCCTAAATGGTTTATTACGTCCTTCCAATGATTGCTAAGCCAGAATCCATCTTCTCGGTTGAAATTGTCTCTGTGTTTGTATATGTGGATCGCCTCATGAACGAATCTCTCATGATAGCCAGACATTGACTTCTCCAAGACAGAGGTTCTCTGCAAGCCATCTGGCTATCATGAGAGATTCGTTCATGAGGCGATCCACATATACAAACACAGAGACAATTTCAACCGAGAAGATGGATTCTGGCTTAGCAATCATTGGAAGGACGTAATAAACCATTTCGGATCTTAACTGATTGTGTTCACGTTAACGGTGACTTTCAGACCGCGTTCCACTCACTGGCATGGTGCAGTGTGCAGAGTAATGTATGGTGTCGTAATTGTACAGTAAACATATAGCAGTATGATACACATTAGGGTGGGTAGAATAATACATAGTGTTATATTAAAATGGATAAGGCAGCAACTGCAGCAGCAGCAGCAAGTGCAGCAGCAGCAGCAAGTGCAGCAGCAGCAGCAAGTGCAGCAGCAGCAGCAACTGCAGCAGCAGCAGCAACTGCAGCAGCAGCAGCAACTGCAGCAGCAGCAGAAACTGCAGCAGCAGCAGCAACTGCTGCAGCAGCAGTAACTGCAGCTCCCTTTGATGCTGTTAATCCTGCATAATGCACATGCATATGCAGTACTAATTACATTCCTGCATTTCCCATAAATATGCTAAATTCCTGTTGATATGCAAATTCCTTTGTCAATGCGCTCAGCTTATATATATGCTCCAAGCTCGTGTGCTGTTTCATTCAGACACTGTCGCCTCGACGGACCTGGTTTTCACCTGAGGACGGCTGCTTGCGTTGTGGCCGAAACGTCGTGAGAATTGTTTTATTATGTTTTATTTTTATTATTTTATTACTTCCCTTCTACGTGACTTTACCGAAAGAACCAAGAAGATGAATCCCTGCAGTCACGAAAGCTTTAAATCGAAATTTAAATTTGCTTACTCCACGTTCAAAATCCACGCGCAGTGAACTGCATATTATTGAAACAAATAACGCACACAAGGCACTGAAATTGTTGGAGTGCATTCCGTGACCAGATCGACTCATGTGAAGGTGCTGGCAGGATTGTTGCATCGTTCCATTGTGAGAGGTGACGAAGGCTTGGGGAAGGCCTTCTTTCAGCAGTGGATTGAGCATGACCGATGACGCTACTGCGTGACTGCTGTGGCGATGTGGGTTGCAGGCTCTCAAGCCGGTGCCCAACACGCAGGGCAACACTGTTGAGCGCTATCGCGTGCTCATCAGCGACGGGGTCCACTCCCACTCGTGTGCGTAACCACGTCAAAGAGTACACACATCACGAACGACTGTCACGCACAGCCAGTACACATCCATCACAAGTATTACACACACCCATCACACACATGACACATATCAAACACATCCATCACAGACGTTGCACACATCACTTGCACACATCACTTGGTACACATCACTTGCACACACCCATCACGCACGGCCGTCACGCAAACACCCATAACACACCCATCATGCACACAGCCAGTACACACCCTTCACATATATCACTTTTACACACCCATCGCGCACGGCCATCACAAACACCCATCACACAGAGTCCTCATGCACACACAACAGGGTACAACACCCATCACACACAGCCAGTACACACCCATCACGCACACAGCCAGTACACACCCATCACAGACATCACTCACACACACCCATCACACACACGTCCGTCATGCACCGCCCACCACACACCCATCACAAAACAAACACAAATATCCCCCGCATAGTCTGAACAGACTGTTGGGGCAAGTGCTGTTAGCGAGTAACACCTATGAAGGCCGGCACAACATACGAGGAGGGTGGGTGGCCAGCACCACGGCAGGCCCATAACACACACCCACCGACAACAACATTCTCCGTCAAGGAAATGTACACGTCCACAGCTCTGTGTCAATCCACAGCTTGGATGAGGGCATGCCCACGCTGTGCTGTTCATAGGGGGTTGTTTGACCATACATACATACCCCTGTGTTGTGAGTTGTGCTGCATCTCAACCACGGTACCCCCCCCCCCCCCCCCCCCCGCTTTTTGTGCCTGACTACAGCCGTCATGTTGGCGACACAGCTGAACCCGCTGGTGGTGCAGGGCAAGGTGAAGACCCACACGCTGTGCCGACTGAACAAGTTCATCCTCAACGACATGAAGGATGGCAGGCGAGTGGCCGCTTGCTCACTCGCTCACTCGACTGCGTGCGCCACGATGACGACCCCGTGACCTTTTTCGACGCTTTCCAAAAAGACGAGGGTTTGTGTGCGTCAGTGCCAACCGGTCCGTCTCTGTCCCATCTGTAACGCGGAGTCACGATAACTGGTGACGATTATTCCAGTGTGAACAAAACAAAAAAAACTTTTTTAAACATTCTATCAGCTCAAACTTGATTTCAAGCTTTCGTGACTGCAGGAATTACTCTTTGGTTCTTTCGGTAAGTCACGTAGAAATAAATGAAATTAATGTGTCTATGTTGTGTGTCTCTCTGTGTGTCTGTGTTGTCTCTCTCTGCTTGTGCGTCTGTCTGTGTGTGTCCGTGTCTGTGTTTTGTCTCTCTCTCAAATTTAGTTCTACATGATGACGGTTGCTTGTGTTGCAATCGAAACGTCGTATTCTATTATGTATAAAATAAAATAAATTATTTCTACGTGACTTTACCGAAAGAACCAAAGAGTAATTCTATCAGCTGCATGGCCTTCTGAGAATGTATAATGTCTGCAACATTGATTGAAAACAAGCAAACTCTGGACCGGTTTCGACATTCGGTTCTCGCAAGCAGTCCGGCTTCTTTGAACCAATGCTGGTGAACTGCCAGATGTTTTATGGCAGGGACTCTGTGTGATAGATATGGGTCTTAGTTAGACACAAAACTACCATGCATGTGTATGTATGTTGAACTTCTTTTTCACCGTACGTAGCCAACCGTGCTAACCAGTTGCTACGTACAGTGAGGATGCTGCCCACCCATGTTGACTACCAGACTGACTTGCTTCCTCTCTGGAGGAGTCAAGGGCACGTGACCTGAAGCGGTGTCTTGATTGGAGGAGTTAAGGACACGTGGCCGGAAGTGGGGGCGCCGTCCTTGATAGAGCAATGTGCGGGGCCGGGGCCAATGGATTAAGGGGGAGCGCGTGGGGGATTCGGGGATCGTTCGGGGATCAAGAGAGTTAACAGGCGCGCACATCGTGAGCAGCCTAGACCAAGTTAGCCACACTTAGCAACAGAACCCGGTGTACAGTGAATTGTCTAATAAACGCGTTGCCTCCTACAACGGTGTGTGTGCACCTCAGTCGACATACACTACACATGTATTAATATACCCGTTTTAGAACTGCATCGGGATAGGGACTGGCAAAAGGTCACTGGGCTCCACTTCCCTACTCGCGTAGGGGGGGCGACAATCAGGAGCGTGGTGCAGAGGGTGGGTGGGACGCTTCTTGACGTCGTCGCCGGTGGTGTTGCCACCGCGATTCCCCCGCAGGAGAGTGGTCGTCGTTATGGAGATGGACGTCGTGATGTCGGCCGAGGAGGTGGGCGGGAAGATCGGGAACGCCCAGCCCTACACGGACGGAGGCGGCAAGGCGCAGCAAGGTGACGCAGAAATCTGCACTCCCCGCAGCCTCGTGCCACTGGTGATGGTGACTTTGCACGTTGCCGTGACCGGGAGCAGTCTGTCGGTTTACCTCTGCCCAAGTTTGACTTTCTATTGATTGTAGACACAGAGTTGGTTGCGGCTGGGAGAGGTCGATGAGCTGTGAAGCTTTTGTTCACAGGTGTCCAGCCCAAGTTGGGGTTGGCGTTGGGTGGAACATTACAGAGGCAGTTACGTAGATAAAGTAAACAATTGAACCTCATTTGTACACAGACTCGATCATACACACTCATACATATACAGATTCGTACACATGAACCTTATGGTGGTACCCCGGGGTACCATAGTACCCCAGCTCTCGCATGTCCGTGACGCAGTCAGTTTTTGTCTGTTGATGGTCGGCGATGCGGCAATCGACTCATCTCGACGAGCTGTACACGATGCACCACTATGGTGCGTACGAGCGTTCTCAGTGCAGTCGTCCTCGCTGCGTTTCGACATCGTGGAGTAGCACTGATTTCGGATTGATTGGTACCCCAGTCGCGGAGTTAAGGACATCCCTGGGAAAAATAGTGTCCCAGAAATAACATTTAATTGCCTATTCACTAGTGCTCAGACTCACTCATACTCCGACTCACTTGTACACAGACTCACTAATATCCAGACTTCCTCATACATACTCACTCATATATAGACTCACTGGTACAATAACTTGGACAATCCAAAAATGATGGCAATAGTTACAAACGATGGTGGAAAAGGTTACATTCCTCTTGTAGATTTACAGCTGTAAAATCATAGTGGCAAATGAAAAGCGGTCCTTAATTTATCACCCCTTGAGAAAGATGGCAATGATGTATGTATGTTGAACTTCTGTCGCACCGTACGTAGCCAACCAGGCTAATCGGAGGTGCAGGAGAAGGACAACAAACAAAACACAAAAAGCAGATGATGATGGGCTGACTTACCTAGTAGGGGCGATCAGTAGTGCCCTCTGTACATTTTAGTTATAAGCAGCGTCCAAGGGAATTTGGCAACTGGCCTCGTTCTGCATTAAGTCACTGCAGACTGAAATGTGATGCGTAATCCTCCTGTGAGCGATGCTTACTGCACAGCTTGAGTTTGCGTGACGAAATAAGCGCAATATTCGCAGTGAAGGAGCCCGTCTCTTGGACCGTACCAGCCTTTAATGGGCGCTTGATAACCACGTCACATACCCAGGCAGTCTGTCAGAGGCTTACGCAGGAGAGCTTTGTCTTTGTACTATTCATAATACAAAGAAAGGGTCCCGCGGTGGCGAGATGTTAACTCTCCCGTCTGGTATGCAGGAGGTCATTGGTTCCATCCCGACCCTGATGCCTGGTGTATATTTGGAGTTTGCGGTGTCTCTTTTTTCTCCACAATTAGAAACATGCGTTTACAGTATTTGGCCGCTATAAATTTCTACATGCTGAGCCACTTCGATGAGCTGTCATTTGTGGCCAAGTTGCTTCTGAAAAAAGCTATATAGCTCAGTGGGCCTTACCTGGTAAAAATGATCATTGTTCATAGTTTAGTCTCTGGTCATTTACGAAGTGCTAAATCGTGCTTAAAGAATCAGTAATTCGCAGCAGTGCCGTCTTGTCATCGCGCTGTGTTGGTTAAATTCATGTCTCGAGGGCTCTGTTGTTTTAGAGTTTGTTCGGTCGGGCATCACGCCTTGCGACGGGGCCCACGTTCTGGAAAGCGTGGTAAGCGCACTTGTCCAGTCGGGCCCGTGTAGCCACAAGATCAAAGACAAAGATTCTGCCGTATAGCCTTGCAGACACTGGCGGAGCCAGTGGGGGCGGGGGGCGGGGGTGGCACGTGCCCCCCCAATGATCCGATCAAAATCCCTAATTTCGATCGGATCAATGGGGTTTATTAGTAATAAATTGGCATTTTGGAACCCCACTACCACTGTGTAGCATATTAGTATGTGCCAGGGATTCTATGAGATGATAGGACAATAGTCTGAGTCTACTATTGGCAATAAGTAACGGCAAAGCGGTTATAAGTAACTCACAGAATTGTGCGCAGTTGCGTATACAGTACATGACTTCCCTGAAGGCATTCACCTTCAGCGAGCGCGATGCTGATCACACACGGTTCGAATTTGACCCTCAATCAATGGCTGCACCATCGCCGCACGCATCGAATAAAAAGCAAGGGACAAGTCCTTACTTACTAACAACTATAATTTTTCTTTGCTGGAGGGTTTGCCCCCCCCCCCCACCTGGAAATCCTGGCTCCGCCATTGCTTGCAGACTTTGCGGCAGTGCGCGAGGTACTCATTTGATGCTGAGTCGACCTAGGGGATGCCTAGGACCAGTTCAGATAATCGTCACTGGTGTTGGCCGTGAGCGGGAATTGAACTCAGGTCGCTGGGTTTGTAGCGCTGCGTGCTAACAACTGCGCCACCGCTCCCCACAACCTCGGAGCAGCAGCAGATCTCAGCTGCTCAAAAAGAAAAGGCTTTATCCTCTGGCAATAATACAGAAAATGTTATAATGTTCAATCACTAAATAAATAGGCATGAAGTCCGTGGTTAAACATTAAGACAAATATGCTTTGATGATAATGTATGCACTGTTTTTGAAACTGATTGGCCTTCACCAGAGACCGCTTCCTTTGTATTGCCTTGACTCACCGTTGCTATAGATGAAATAATGCCAAAAAGCATACAGCCTTGTGGGAACTGTCACATGCCTCGTGCCTGCCCTTAATAGGCACTCGCTAACAACAACATGTTTCCCCAAACAGTCTGCTCAGGATATACCGGTGATCGTTGTTTATTTGTGTGTCCCACAGGTAACCAGACGGTGGCGGCAAATGGTGGGGCAGGCGCGGGAGGTGGAGGAGGGTACCTTGGAGGCGGTGCCGGCACTGGTGGTGGCTTTGGTGGTGGCTTTGGTGGTGGCGGGGGGGGACCTATGGTTAAGGCAGCGAGCTTCGGCTCCTCCGCGTACCACCCCGCTCCGTCCACGACTCCTGGCGGCTCGGCCGTCCGTGCGGTGCCCATCTCCAGCCTCAACCCTTACCAGAACAAGTGCGTCATCGGTCGGCTCGCACAACAACGGCGTACCTTTTCCGGTTAAAAAAATTATAATTATATAAATAATTGCCACCCAGTTTAGTAATGCCCGCCTTGATCATTCACTCGCAGCATTCCATCGGTCTGTTGAAGCCGTCCACTGGATCACTCCGTGGCCTCAACGTGAACTTTGCCAAACCAGCTGTTCGCTGTACGAAACGTGTTTATTGTGTGTTCGTCTATTCCATTCCTGTGTATTGCAGAAATGTGTTCAGGAGCTAGATAACCGACATCAAGGTCTGCAGGCCATGACGAGAGGGCTCCAGGAGAGAGAGAGGAGAGAGCATTTGTGTAGTTTTGCTGTTCCTCTTCCGTTTAAGGAGCGCAGACTAACAGTGGTTTCATGCACGGGTCCATAGTTGGGATTAGATGGCCACAATCGCACTACTGTAGCTTGGGACTTTAATTTTCCATTCATTCAAGTTCAAGTTCATTTATTAGGTATAGCCCTGTGAGCCATTCAGCTCTTGAATCGGGTGCAACCGCAACAAACAAAAAACAAAAACATGAACAAAAAAACATCTTAAAGTGAATATGTGACTAAGTGCAAACAGAAAATCCAAGAAAAGACAGCAAAAATATTGCAGAAAAAACACCGTACACCAACGCTGTGTGCAAAAATCCCAGTGGGATGCAAGTCAAACAACAACAACAACCACAAGACAACTTAGATTAAGGCCATCAGTCTAACTCTGTACTACAACAACACAAACATGGCTAAACCAATACACTTTTCGAAATCACCAAAATAAAGCCATGAAGGCAATGAAAAAGCAATCATAGGAACTGACGGAATTTTCACAATAAATGGCATAAACAACATGTACTACCAAAACCCTGCAGCCATAGCTGGCTGCATGAGTCACTCCACAACAGCAGGAGCATCAATCGGAGTATTGTAATTTTTCAATGCACCTTTAAGATCAGCACACTAAATCAAAACACAGGTCATACTTTGTAGCGATCATCCGGAGCGAAACATTTTATTTTAGGTCACTGAATAGCACTGGCAGCTAGGGGTGTACAACTCCTCTAAAGCAGTTTTGAGTGAAGATCTCATAGGTAGTGACTCAAGTTTCAATTTATTTGCAACAGCATTCCAGACCCTGGGGGCATCAATAGCAAAGGCCCTTCCTCCAGTATATGTACGGCAATAGGGAATATTAAGCTGGTAAATGAGTGTAGACCTTAGGTCAAATTTGTTCTTTGAAACAGAGACGAGATCCAGCAGGTAATCTGCAGATTTTTTTGCAAGTACATCATGAATAAATAAGATCTGGTGCACAAGCCGTCGAACATTCAGAGATGTTAAGTTTGACCCAATGTAGAGATCACAGTGGTGAGTCCTATATGGGCAGTTCAATGCAAATCTTAAGGCCGAGTGATAAATTGAGTCAAGCTTCTTCAGTACAGTACTTGGGGCTGATTTATACACAATGTCACAGTAATCAAGTAGAGGCAGTACGGTAGCTTTAATAAATTCCAAACGGAACATAGGAGGGAAGCAGTGCTTGTGTCGATATAGAAAACCAATTTTAATTTTTGTCTTTTTCCCAATATAATCAATGTGATCTTCAAAATTCAGTTTTGAATCCAGGATGACCCCAAGATACTTATAGATCTTGACTTGCTCTATTTGATCATTATTTAAGGTATGTAATTGGGGAAAAATAACTTCCCGCTTTAGTCCTGGTGAGAAGCATAGCACCTTGGTTTTGGCAGGATTTAGGACTAGTTTAAGAGCAACTAGCTGATGTTGTAGTTTGTTGAAATCACTCTGGAGCTTAGCAATCACGTCATCCGGAGAGCGGCCAGCAGTAATTAGTACCGTGTCATCTGCAAAAAGATTTACCCTGGAATAATCCAGTTCAGTGCCCAAGTCATTTACATAAAGAGAAAACAAGAGGGGGCCGAGAATGGAACCCTGTGGAACCCCTTTTGTTATCTTAACACTGTTTGACCTCCAACCATCTGTGAATACAGTTTGGGTGCGAGAAAAGAGGTAATTTTTTAACCATTTTACTGTGTTTTCGGAAAAACCGAGGCAACTTATTTTACTAAGCAGGATGTTGTGGTCTACTGTATCAAAAGCTTTGGACAAGTCAAGAAAAAGACAGGCGCAGTACTGCTTATTATCAAGGCTACTGTAAATGTGATTCAGAGAGTCTAATGCAGCAGATGTGGTGCTGTATTTTTTTCGGAACCCAGATTGTTTTAGATGTAATAGATTGTTGGCGGACAGGAAACTGCTAATTTGGTAGGTCAATCATTTTTCAAAAATTTTCATCAACGGGGACAAAATTGAGATAGGTCGGTAGTTATTTGGATCATCTTTAGGGCCCCCTTTGTGAAGTGGACGAACATAGGAATGTTTCCATTCTAGAGGAACTGATGCTTCTTTGATGGACAGGTTGAAAATATGGGCTATAGGTTTGTATATTAGGTGACCAACAGTTAGTAGAGCAAAGACGGGAATACTATCTGCTCCGGTAGAGGAGGACCCTTTGAGGTAGGACAGTTGTTTCAGAACATTACTTTCGTGGATTGGCTGAAAACTAAATTCGCTTAATGTTTGGACAGGAGTGTAGGAATTTGCATGAGCAGGGGTGACTCCCAATACATTATCAAATAGGGTACCAGCTTCAGAAAAATGAAGGTTAAAATTGTCAACTATTTTTTGGGGATCTGAAAAATATTCCCCATTTCGGTTAAGCTGAACGGGCAGATGATCTGTTTTGGATGCCTTTTCGATACATTTGATTGTTTTCCAGAAAATCCTGGCATTTCCATGAGATTCAAGGAGAGTGGAAGAGAAGTAGTTATTTTTTGCATGCCGTATTTTTTTGACGCATCTATTCCTTAGAATCCTGTATTCTAGCCAGTCATTGACCAAATTACTTTTCTGAGCACATGCCCAAGCCTTGTCCCTAGTTTTCATGAGCTTTGTAATCACAGGATCAAACCATGGTGGACGGTTGCCTTTAGTTTTAAATTTAACCAACGGAGCATGTTTGTTAAGAATTTGGAGAAACGTGTACCTGAAGGTCTCCCAAGCCGTAGTCAGGTTTGGAATATCACAGACCTTGTCAATATCCGAGTGAAGCACATCATTAGTAAATGCCTGAGTGCTGAAGTGTCTCATGGAGTGCTTCTCAACCAATTTAGGGGGGGCTTTGGGTCTGGCTGATGATCTCACCCCAAAAATGAAGGAGTGATCACTAAGGTTATTACCTAGAACACCAGTCAGTGCGAAATTGTGAGGGGCATTTGTCAATAGGACGTCAAGCAGAGATGACTGTCCCGGATTTTTTAGGTTGGGTCTTGTGGGGACATTTATTAATTGAAACAGGTTAAATTCATCTGCAAAATTTGTGGCCACGGCCGGCGGGTTTAGCCAATTCCAATTTAGATCACCCACTAAAACTATTTCACCTTTAGGGAGGCCCCCAAGAAGCTCTCTCAGTGCATGAAGGAGATGTGCGCATCGGCCCACTGAAGTTATAAACTGAACAATGAAGTATTATTTGATCAGTTAAGACCCACTGAGCTATATAACTTTTTTTCAAAAGCGACCAGTTATCAAAAATTATAGCTCAACGAAGTGGCTTATCACGTGGAAATTTATAGGAGCCAAATACTCTAAACGCACGTGAATTCTAAATGAGGAGGGAAAAACCGGAGGACCTGGAGAAAAATAGACGCGACCATGGAGCCCTAGTGGACATACAAACTCCAAATACACAGCAGCAGGCGTCAGGATCGGGATGGAACCCCACGACCTGCATACCAGGCGAGGTAGTTAACATCTCGCCACCTTGATGCCCCTAGGTGGACGATTCGTGCGCGCGTCACCAATAAGCAGAGTATCCGCACGTGGAACAACTCGCGCGGGGAGGGGAAGCTGTTCTCCATGGACCTGACGGATGAGAGTGTGAGTTGGAGCGGAAATTCTTTTGAAATTATTTTATTTAACTTTGGTTACGTTTTTGTGCCATTTGCACACTTTTGTAGTGCAGTTGTTTTTGTTCCGATTTCTGTTCTGCTTCATTTGCTCCACTTTGTTTTTATGTTGATTGCCTTTGTCATCATGATGACCCCCTGGGGTCATTTTGGCAAATGGACTCGTCCTTGTCTGTTGAGCTCTCACCAAGTCAACTTTGCAAACAGCCGCAGAACCACCCACCACGTGACATGGTTGTTTTTGTGCCGATTTCTCTTCGATGCCGTTCTCACCCCCGTCACCCTGTGTGATCGGGAGTTGACTGCGTTGCGTTTGCTGCGTTCCACCCGCAGGGAGAGATCAGAGCCACAGCCTTCAAGGAGCAGTGCGACAAATTCTTCCCGATCATCCAGCTCAACCAGGTACGACACCCACGGTGCCAAGGCTCCGGTGGTCAGGCCTACAAACCCCCCGCCCTGCCCCCACCGTTCGTCGTCGTCGTTTTAACGCGTCCGCGTTTGTCCCGTACAGGTTTACTACATCTCGCGGGGGTCGCTGAAAACAGCCAACAAACAGTACACGTCCATCAAGAACGACTACGAGATAACGTTCAATAATGACACCACGGTGGTGCCGTGCCCCGACGCCCCTGAGCTGCCCATGGTGCAGTATGACTTCCAGCCCATCGCGTCCCTCCAGGACCGCAACAAGGACTCCATCCTGGGTGAGCGATGCGGAGAGAGCGAGAGAGAGAGAGGGTGGACGTGAGAGAATGGGGTCGTTTGACGTACAACCCGCTCCGATTCTGTGAATTGTCCCGCAATTTGATTTGTGTTATCAATTCTTTTTTTTCCCCTCTCAGAAGTGTTTCTTTCTGCCCAATATTTGGAGACCCAAACCAGAAGCAATATTTTTTTTTCGCAACTCTGCAATCGCATTTTATGTTGACAGCCGCCCCATCGGCTAATCTTATACATTACGAGACAAAACACCCATGCATAAATTCAGCTCTTGCGAATGAAAACTCTGTTGATCAAATTAATTACTCAATCTTGATTTGAAGCTTTCGTGACTGCAGAAATCCATACTTTGGTTCTTTCGGTAAAGTCACGTAGGTAGAAAAAAAAATAGATCCTGACGTTTCGATCGCCATACAAGCAACTGTCTTCAGGTGGGAGTGAGAAACAGGCTGCTGAAACAAGTCCTCATATAAAGAGAGCTGAGGGGGGGGGGGGTGCCGCATCGGGCAAGAGGGTGGGGGCTGGAGCTTGTGCTGAGGAGGTGGGCATTGTATTGTGAGAGATTAGCATGTCAATGTATATTGACGGTATATCAGCCACTAGGGGGATATAGCCCAGCAGGAGACACAGACGGAGAGAGACACATAGAGACACACACCTAGAGAGACACAGAGACACACCCATACACAGAGAGACACACACAAAGTGACACAACAACATCACAGCCAGTTATAGTCTGCTAAAAAACGAGAGCCATCACCACATCAAGGGAAAGGGGGCAACGTTGGCTTTGTTAGTGAGACATTTAGCCCGTTAAAGTAAAGACATTTAACTTGGTAATGTAACTCGGAGAGTCGGAAAAAACTGCTGACAATGGCAGGTAGGATGGAGACATCAACAACCAGTTCAAGCTTTACCTAGTTAATAACGTCCTTCCAATTGTAATAAAGGACTCTCTCTCAGATGTCGATCTCCGTTGTCCTTTATTGGGTTCGTAGAATCTCCGTACCACGGCGTCTCGCTCAGGCCCGCGTCACGCTCGACGACCTCTCCACAGCCCTCGGCTGCTCCGTTGTGCAGTCTCCCTGCTGCTCCAATATGCAATCTCCCTGCTGCCCCGTCAGGCAATCCTTGCAGCCACACCGCTGCCCCGCTATCTAGCATCACTGCTGCCCCTTTCACAGCTAGCCTCTCACTGCCCCGTTAGCTCTCTTCGTCTGACACCGATGGCTGTCGGTGTCGACGTCTCCCACCGCGTGGCGACCGCGCCACACTCTCCGTCTTGCCCAGCATGGCCTCCTCGTATTTCACTCCGTTTCAACTCCCCCTTCCGGTTCTCTCCCTAAATCCTCTCCCCCACGTGACCCTAACTCCACCCACTCCCCACGTGACCCAGACTCCGCCCCCCCTCAATCCTTGCTCGCATTACACAATGATTGCTCACTTCGTACCCATCTTCTCGTTTGAAGTTGTGTCTGTTTATATATCTGGATGGCTTCATGGACAAATTTTTAATGGTAGCCCGAAGGTTTGCAGAGTACCTTGGTCTCGGAAATAAGGACTTGTTTCAGCAGCCTGTTTCTCACTCCCACCGGAAGTCGATTGCTTGTGTGGCGATCGAAACGTCGTGATCTATTTTTTTTTTTCTACTACCGATGTGACTTTACCGAAATAATCAAAGCATATTCATATTACTGTTTTTTTATCTGAGTGGGTGGGTAAGTGCTGCCTCCCAGTGTGTGGATAAGAGGGCCACTCTAAAAGATATCAGAACTCATTCTTCGATATCCGCTTATGCGGCAGGGAGGTGGGGAAAGGTGGGAGGGAACGTTGCGTAATTTGCGTGACTTTTGGGCTCATGCGCGTAGACGTGCTGGGCGTGTGCACGAGCTTCGAGGAACCCACCAAGATCACCATCAAATCGACCAACCGCGAGGTCAGCAAGCGCAACATCCAGGTCGTCGACGCCAGCTGCAAGACGGTCAGCGTGACCCTGTGGGGCAACGACGTGAGTGTCATCGTCGTCGTTTTTATTCTGGGTATCGATAGGGTCGTTGAAATCCGTTGCTTTGTGTTACCGGTAAACCAGTAAAAACTGGTTTGTGGCAAATATAGAAATGTCTAGAGCAGATGTCGGCAACCAAAATAACAAGAAGAGCACTTTCTTTGAATTTGGAAAGTGGGGAGCTGCCACTGGGTTAACGCTGAGCAGACGAATTGGCCTCCAGATGGCGCCGGTTGGACTCCCATCTACCAGTGTGGCAGTTGAGACGACTTGGTACGATTTTCTTAAATTCCCAACGCCCCCCCATCCCGTGCGGTGTGTCGCTGGTGCAGGCGGAGACGTTTAACGGCGCTAATCAGCCCGTGCTGGCCATGAAGGGTGTGCGCCTCTCCGACTTTGGAGGCCGCTCCCTCTCGCTCATCAGCTCCAGCCTCATGGTGGTCAACCCCGACATCCCTGAGGCCTACAAGCTGCGCAGCTGGTAACCCCCCCCCCCCCCACTCCTTCCCATAACCAGACGTCTTACACTAAACAGACCCTAATACTAACCCTAACCAGACATATAACCATAATCACACCTTAAGCCTAACCGTAATTAGACCAATAACTCCTAACCCAGACCCCAAACTCCTAACTGCGACCAGACCCCAAACTCCCAACCCTAACCAGACCCCTAACTCCCAACCCTAACCAGACCCATAACTCCTCACTGCAACTTAACTCTACTCTCCACCATATCCTGAGTGCAAGTAAGAGCCCCGACATTTAGCCCAAACAACAGTCTTAATCTAAGCATTGGCAAAGCTGCTAGTGTCTTATTGTGAGCCAAGAATCGGCATCATCAGCCACGATTTATCCACAGCTGGATGAATGCCTCCCCAATATGCCGCCATGAAATGAGTGCCACTCTGTTACCAAGTCAACAGTGGTTGCCCTAGGGAGAGACTTGCTTCTGTCACAGGAATGTGGAATTTCCACCACTGGCTCAGGCCTGTGAACATGAGATGTAGGTCGCCTCAATGTTTACATGAGCAGATTATTCTGTGAAAGTAGTGCACAAGCACAAATAACAAAAACACTCAACACGTTCATCAATAACACTGCGGCCTTGATATAAGAAATATAAAATAGGCAATGTTTAGGGGCCGGTGGCCCTTCTTCGGGGCATGTATAGAGAGAGAGCTTGGATAATAAGAATTTTGAGACTGCCCTTAACACCATGGGGCCTGATGAGAATTACGTTCTAATATTTTTCTGATGAACAGTTTTAAATAGGAATTTGGATTGTTACAAAGTAGTAGCTCTTGACTAACAGACAACCCTTACACAAACAAAAAAGTTGTACTCATATTAAAAATAAAGTAATATCATATTTCTGATGCATTCCATTCTGTGTAGAACTACGATAGCGGCCGCAGAAGTGCACCGGAAATCACGCGACGCAGTGACCATCTTTATTCGATGGCTAGCCAAAATCCGATTCTGCTGCGAGGATAACCGGAGTTTGCTGTGATGGTTTATGCTTCTTGACAAGATCAGCAAGGATAATGAGCTTAAATCGCTTCGTGATACACTTGTAGTGAGTCCAACTGAGTCGTAGACGTTATCTTGGGAGCAACACTATTTATTCACATAACAGTACGTAACATAACACAACCTGCGCTCGGGTCTCGAATACCCATCTCACCACGCTACGGCAGCACTAGACAAGGTTCGCTATCCCGGTCCGGACCATAAGCTGGGTCCCGGACCGTGTGGCTGGAGGCTTCTTCTCCCCAACGTGGATCTTGAAGAACCCCGAGCTCCTCACGGAGCTCTCATTATATGCTCCGGGGCTGGGTCTGGCTCCGCCCTCGGCCCCGCCCACCTTCCAGGCTTCTAGAGCTCCTTCTCGAAGGTTCCCGAGAGCTCTTAGGGACCACGTGACCGCCCCACGGCCCCCGTCCATCGGTGGCCCCCCTCCAGTATCGTCCGGTCACGTGACAACAGGTCGGCCAGAGTGGCATGCCCCAGAGTAACCCTGGCTGGCTGACGCTCGCTCTCGCTCCCTCACTGGGAGCCGACACCGCACACTGATCGTGGTGCCTTCGCGCTAACCAGCACTCACCCAACCACCGCCAGAGTTGGTACTGCAGCCCGCAACCCGGGCTGTCCGCAATGACAACATTACCGGCCGTGACTTCGCTCAGTCCCGGCACCATACAGTGACAAGTACAGTAACTACACATTTCTGTAGCCCAAACCTCACGTCAATAGGGCAGGAAATATGAGCAAGACATCTCTTTGACTCTGCTTTCCGTGACGTTATGGGAACGCATGAAGTAACCGCGCTATCGATGTGCAGGTTCGATCGCGAGGGCCAGAACATGGAGACGGAGTCGATCTCCGAGCAGCGCTTCGCTGGCGGCTCCTTCCCGGAGAGCCAGTGGAAGACGCTGTCCCAAGTGAAGATGGAAAACCTTGGCCACGGTGACAAGGTAACTTGCCATCCCTCCCCCTCTGCCATTTTTGCGATTCGTAGTTTATCGAATTGATGAAGGGGGGGAAGGTGTGTCGAAAACAGAGATTGATTTTGATCTCTGTGGGCCGCCATAGTCACGTGACTTTGCACCGTCCTGCGGTGGGGGCGATTGAGGAGGTGAACGTGTGGGGGGTGGAGTAACGATGGCGATGATAGCCCCTCCTCGCCACGAGCACGTGGTGAGCAAGAGATGGAGAGGGAGATTGAGACTAGACAGAAATAATAAGACGGAGAGAGAGAAAGGGAGACGGATAAGGTTGAAGCAGACGGAGAGAAATAGACAATGAGATGGGTTATACAGATGGAGAAAAATGGAGATGGGGGTAGGGAGACACACGGGCAGAGGGAGAGACATGGAGAGAGAGAGAGAGACACGTGCACGTGGAGGCATAGAGACAGAGAGATGGAGACGGATACAGGGAGACGCCACAGAGAGGGCTGCGCTCTGTGCACGCACTGCCACCATCACACGAGGCCACCACCGACCCTCGTCTCCGCCCGCCCTACGCAGGCCGACTACGTGACGGTGAAAGGCTCCATCATCTCCATCAAGAAGGACAACTGCCTGTACCAGGCATGCCCCAAGCTCGACTGCAACAAGAAGGTGCTCGACCTCAACAACGGCAACTTCCGCTGCGAGAAGTGCGACACCGAGGTGCCCAACTTCAAGTACCGCCTCATCCTGCAGGTGAGCCCCCACGCATGCGCTGCTGCTACCTTGCAGGTGTGTGTCTTTGTCTCCGGTGCAGGTGTGTGCTGCTGTAGGTGTGTGTGTATTTGCGTGGCCTCAACGTGCACATAGCCTGGCATAAGCGTCGTGGTGATGTCACCGCCACTTGGTGGTGAATGGCAGTTGTTTTTGTATTTGCTGTTCTGGTACAGGTGTAGTGCTTATACTTATGAGACCCGTGGGTAGAAATACTCACGGGATCCTAGGTTACAGTGTTAGGATGACGTCACAAGGTAAGGGAGAGAGAAGGCGTGGCAAACTACTGCTGCTTCCAGTCAGCTTTCCGTCAAAACTATTCCACAGAAACAGCACTCACCAGAGTGCTCGATGACATTTTAACGATCATTGATTCCGGCTCAACTGTTGCACTTGTAAGTCTAGACATTTCATCAGCCTTTGACACCATCAACCACTCGCTCCTTACTTCCCTCCTGAAATCCGACTTGGGTATATGCGGCTCAGCACTCAAGTGGATAGTTTCGTACCTTTCTGACCGGCAATCTTCAGTCAGGGTGGGCATGTCCACATCGCCTGAAACAAGAGCATTATGCGGGTTCCCCAGGGCTCTGTACTAGGTCCCCTGCTCTTCACAGCCTACACTTCCCCGATCGGCCGGCTCATCGCAAGCTTCGGTGTTAAGCATCACTCATACGCGGATGACACTATTCTATTCACCGCCATAGATTCTAGCAATGCATCTGGATTCGAGAGGCTCTCGGAATGTACCACCGCCGTGCAACAATGGTTCACTGCACACAACCTCGCCCTTAATCCGAAAAAGTTAGTGGCCATCATGTTAGGTACCAAGCAACGTCTCAACTCATCAGCACTCCCAACACACATACACATCTTCGGTCACAGCATCAGGTTCACCGACCACTTCAGCTACTCGGTGTCATCCTAGATTCAACTTTATCCTTCGATCGTCAAACCAACCATATCATCAGTTCATGTAACTTTCACCTGAAGGCTCTCAGACACCTACGTCCTCTCATCTCTACTGAAATTGCCAACACATTGGCATGTTGCATAGTTGGGTCTCGCCTTGACTATTGCAACTCCGTCCTAGTCCGGACCTCCACTGGCAACCTAAAGAAACTTCAAAGACTACAAAACAACCTAGCACGCGTCGTCATTCCCCACACTCATCGATTCACTAGCTTGTCTCCGTGCTCTCAAATGGCTACCCATCGCCAGTCGGGTCACATACAAGATCGCTTGCCTCTGCCACAATGCCTTCATATCCGCCTGCCCGCCGTACCTTTCTTCATTATTGACAACCTGCAGCTCAGCACACGGCAGATGCCTGCGCAGCACGACTCACGACCTCCTCTTGATACCAGGATCCAGGATGGTCATGTCTATGCACCGCTTCTCGGTAGCAGTCCCAACAGTCTGGAACGATATCCCTCTGCACATTTGCAGCATCACCTCAATCGCCTCCTTCAAGAGAGACTTAAAAAACTCACCTCTACAATCATGCTTTCCAGCGACTCTTGAGCTTGGCTCCGCGCCTCAGAGTTGCGGCCATTACGTCCGCAAATTTGCGTGCGTTATAAATTGAACTATTATTATTATTAAAAGACATAACTTCCAGAGAGAGAGGTGACGTCACCAGTTGAGGCGGGGCGATCGGGGCACTTCTTGGAGGGAATCCGAGTATGGTGAACGCGTGCGACGTAAGCTTGTGCAAAATAAAGAAAAGTGTCGACTCTCGATCTTCATCTGGTGGAGTCTCTACAACTGGTGGCAGCGGTGGGATGACAAGATGCCTCGACGCTGCAACAAGAAGGACCCCGACAGAGATCCCAGCGAAGAAGGGGAGGAACGTGACTCTACTCCCATCGCCCCGAATGGCCGTGATCCGGAGACGGCACGGTCTGCAGACGGTGTTGGAACAGCTCCCCGAATCATGAGAAGATTGCGGGGAGCAAGGAGCAACACATCTGAGAGCCCTCCACCCTGCGAGAGGAGGGGGAGGCACTTTACGGGCCGGGTCGGCCAACAGACAGAGGCGGTCACGCTACTCTTGCAACAACTGCGGGAGGACAAAGGTGGCTGCTAGCCCGGCGACAGTCATGCCGCTCTTGGCGTCCGCAGCGGCTTCTCCGCTCAGCTGAGCGGAAAGTCCTACTGTGGGGATGCCACGAGTAACAGCGACGGCTGGGGTAGTCGCCGCCCAGCCAGCGCCGCGGACGGGTGAGAACGCAGCACCACAATCGGCGGGCTCCATTCTCGCTGGCCCAGCGGGCGCATCGGAGGCTCCCAAATTAAATTTTGCAGTCGGAACCACAGAGGGAAGAGTCACCTCATGGAGGATGTAGGGTCACCCTTAGTGAGGCCGACACCGATAGCCGCCATGGGAGCTGGGGCAGAGATAGACCCCCGAGGCCCAGCGGTAATGGCCGCACCGAGCTTTAGCGGCGGAGCGTTGGAGCCGCGTGGGGAGGCGCGAGGATAACAGTCAGAGGCGTGCGGCCTAGGCCGCAGAATTTATTCCACCCGGGGGAGTGGAGCGGCGATGAGGAGAGGGCGCCGATTGTCCATGCAGGTTAGGTCATGTCGAAAAATGTGTGGCTAAGGGAGGGGACTGGGGAGCACTTGTTCGCCGATTCGAGGCAGCGTACACCTATTTGGAATGGACGGAGCACGAGCCACTGAAAGCTCTCCCCATGGTCTTAAGCGATGACGCTTTGATCATTTATTCTTCCATCCCAGCAGACAAAAAGAACACCCTGCAAAGCCGTTCATCGCGAGATGGCAGAGATTTTTGACCCGAAATCTATCACTAAAAGACGATTCCAGAACCGTCGGCAGGAAGAGGGCGAATCAGGTTTGGCCTACAGAAGCTCCCTCATGGCCTTAGCACAAGCTGGTTTGCCAGGCCTGGATGCGGGGGCTCGGGACTTTTAAGGTGGCACAGGCTTTAACAATAGTTTTGCCAGTCACTGATGAGGACAAGCATTACTTCCTTGTGGATTGCGAAGAGCATAAGAACCCATGAGGAGGTGATAAAGCCGCAACGTATGGTCACGCAAATAGCGGACCCATCACCCCATTAAGGACCGGAGGGAGTTCGGGGGAAAATGGAACATGGGAGAAGACGCCGAACCAGAGATGGACGCTGGGCTGCCCAGGGGAGAGATGTTGGCGGCTGTGAGAGGGGCATATCGGGGTCCTGCCCAGAAAAACCGTTGTTGGATTCCCAGGGGACTTGGAGCAACCAGCCGGACCTAAAGCTCTCTGACCTGCCACCAATGTGGCCATATGGGCCACATCGCACGCGGATGCCACACCGACGCTGCTCCATCGGGGCCGCCCTCGCATCAACAACCGCCTCCCCACCCGTATTGTACATACAATCAGCAGGCGAGTTGCGGCACCCAAAACACCTCGGCAGTTTCCATCACAGACCTCCCGCACACACCAACAGTCAATACACCTGCCATTTCCCGACGATCACAACCACACTCGTATATACATGGCCGGCTTCGGGGTACACAATGGCGCAAGTTGGCATGGAGGGTCGTGGCAGCCACAGCTGGGACGTCGGTGGATGGAATTGAGGTTCGGATGCTGGTCGATACGGGAGTGTCGGCGACTATTATCTCCCTGCACGTTTTTGACATGCTTCCCCACAGGGCCCAGTGGTTGCGCCCTGTACAATTGTCCTATGAAGCGGCAAATGCGGGGGGCATAGGGATATTGGGACAGTTAGACCCAAATTCGCGTGGAGGTACTGGTCATATTGGCCCTGCACTAGTCTCCAGCACATTGACGGTTCTCTGTTTGCTGGGAACAGACTTTTTGAATCAGCTCCCTATCAAAATTGTAAATGACCAGGGGTGCATTGAAATGCCGTCAGGGGAACGTCCGGAAAGAGATGCTCACTGTACCCCCAGCAGCACAAATCTTAATTCCCCTTCGATATCGCATACCTCTGGTGACGGCGCGACTGGACACACTCATTTTGGTATCACCGACAATTGCGATCATGGATTGACACGCCTTAGCAGGAGCGGACACCATTCTATGTCGCCACCAACATTTGTTTATTCAAATTTTTAACACGGCAACCACACCTGTCACAATACGGTTTTGGCACATGTGCGATCCATGCCAGCAGGGGGTGGAGAAGTGCAGGCAGGAATAATGGCGGATAATACTGATCCTGGCTACGCCTTGGCTGGAAGCCATGACAGCGCAGGATGCTAACTTGTCCGAGTCACAATGCCAGGCCCTTCGGGTATTGTTGCAAGATTTTGATGACATTTTTAGTAAGGCACCATACGATTTATGGCGCATTAACTTAATGTAACACCACATAGAGACGGGAAACGTGCCGCCCAGCCGCCAAAATGCATATCGCATGGGGCTGGTCGAGAAATCTTACCTACTAAACGGGATTGACGAGATGTTAAGGGCTGCTATTATCTCGCCATCCACGGGCGCCCTGTCGTCCTTGTCAAAAAGCCAGATGGTTCATTCTGGTTTTGCGTCTACTTCCGTCAACTGAATAAGGTCACAATGGCGGACGCTTATCCACTCCCGCGGATTGATGATTCCTTGGATCTATTATCAGAATTTTGGCAGTTACCGCTGGATGAGGATTCAAAACACAAAACCGCCTTGTGGACACGCCAGGGGTTATTTCATTTTAACTGTCTCGCCATGGGATTACAAACGGCCGTAGCCACATTCCAAAGGCTCATGGATCTGGTACTGACGGATCTCTATATATTTGGACGACGTAATTGTGTTGGGATGATCTTTCCAGGAACACTTATACCAGTTGAGGATAGTTTTCTCACTTATCAGGGAAGCGCATTTAAATCTCAAGCCTTTAAAATGCCACCTCGCACAGCCTCCCATCACATATTTAGGGGAAATAGCGCAATGGGGGTAGCTACTGATCCTGAAAAGACACTGTGTTAGGGAATGGCCCACCCACATAAGCTTTTGTTCAGGGATATGTTATGGACAAAGGTGCCCTTGTAATCTTCTAATGGACCAGGTTATACACTAAGAAAGTGCACACTTCTCAATACCACCCACAAACCGATGGGATGGTGGAACGACTAAATCGTACCATCACTTACATGCCATGTCAGGTGGTTAATGAGACTCAGACGGACTGGGACTTACACATAGGCAGGGTCCTGGCAGCATACCGGTTAGCCCCGCATGCTTGAACAGAGATACTCCCCGTTTCATTTGCTGTATGGTCGGGAGCCTGACCCTCCTATTGAGCACCAGGTTTTTGACCTCCCAGTTGTGGCTGCAAAATAGCCAATAGCGGTATGGCAGGTCATGCAACAGTGGGAGACTGCGAGGGAGGCGGCACTAGCTGAGGCAGCTTCCGCTCGTTCTGCGAATGAATGGGCCAGGCAAAAGGGAGTGACGCCCTGGCCTTTTAAAGTGGGAGATGGTGCGTGGCTACACTGCCCACAGGTCTCCTTAGGGACGTTGCCCAAACTGCGCCGTCTGTGGCAGGGCCCTGTTAAGGTGGTGGAAATTCTCAGGCCCAAATGTGTACGGGTTCAATTGGGACGCCGGCAATGGTATATGCACCCTGCCCGTCTAAAGCCGGACCGGTCGAAGCTTACCACACTTGGAAGAGCACCCACTCCACTCACCAAAAACCGGGTTACCGCGAACACCGACACCTTCACCCCTTCACTCACCATCATCACTGCTGAAGTCGGGGAAGTCATTTGCCATGACGAACCAACCTCAAGAAGGTTGCTTTCCTTGAGGTTGGTTGTTCGCATGTTGTGGTTGGAAGATCCGATTGACCCCTGGTATGGTACCGTCTTGCCTTACAGTTACTCCTTTGTTGCTGTCTTAAAATCTGTTCTGTATACACATGCATTCCTCACCTACACACACAATGTTTCAGGACTCCGGTTGAGTTGAAATTGCTTGTTTATTGACTAACAAAAGTGCTTTTTCCCTCTTCTCGTCTACCGTCAGGCTTGCACCGAGTCCCTTCGATTCGCACTAGTTGTGTTAAGGTGACGACGACTTTTTCTTCAGGGGCAGGGGGAGTGATGTAGTGCTAATGCTTTCGAGATCCAGGGGTAGAAATACTCACAGGATTCTAGGTTAGAGTGTTAGGATGACGTCACGAGGAAAACAAGAGAGAAGGCAGGCGAGAGACAGAACTTCCAGAGAGATAGAGGGAGCGTCACCGGTTGAGGCGGGGCGATCGGGGCGCTTCTTGAGTGGAATGGGTGTAGGGTGGACGCGTGCGGCGTGAGCTCGTGCGTAATAAAGAAAAGAGTCGACTCTCGAGCTTCATCTGGTGGACTGTCTACCAGAGGTCGCAACCGGGTACCCGATACCCGTACCCGGCCGGGTACGGGTACCAGTTTGCGATCCTGGTGCGGCCGGGTACGGGTACGGGTAGACCGTGAGTCACTGGTGAGTAACCGTTTGTCACTCATTTCCCAACGTCTTGTCTCTTCTCACAATTCAAGTTCCTAGAATCAACCCACCCACGCCTGCAACATGGCTTCATCCCAGAGGTCGCAATCGGGTACCCGTTTGCGACCCTGGTGCGGCCGGGTACGGGTAAGGAATCAAAACCCGTTTGCGACCTCTGCTGTCTACCCAGGCGTGTGCTGCTGTGTGTGTGTGCCGTTCCTGTACAGGAATGTGCTGCTGTAGGTCTGTGTGCTGCTGTGTGTGTGTGCCGTTCCTGTATAGGTGTGTGCTGCTGCTAGGAAGGGGAGTCGCTTTGGGGCTTTGGGGGGGTCCCTAGGAAGGAGGCTCACTTGGGGGCCCAGGGCCAGAAGGGATGCCCGTGGCTGGTGCCGCAGGGTGGATGTTGCTCCCGCACAAGGCAGGGCTCGTGACCGCTGACCGACCAGGTCGGGGGGAGGTGGGGGGGAGGTGGGGAACGGGGGGGGGCAGGGTGCCTTCCCCCCCCCCCCCTGCTTCTGCGTGCATGCTGTTCCTTTGGTGTGCCGGCGCTATTTTTAGCCTGAGGTGTCTGCGTTGTTCCCGTGTGCGCGCTGTTCGCATGCGTGCGTAATGTTCCTTGTGTAGGTGGACGCGTGCTGTGCCTCTAGTGCGGGTGTGCGTGTGTACCGTGCGTGTGTACCGTACGTCCAGCAAACATGTCACAAAAAATCAGACCCCCCCCTCAAGTATGACGTCACAAAGCTCTGCCCCCCCCCCCAAAAAAAAAACATGCGTCAAATCGCTTTAACTATTTTGATTCTGGTGCGTGTTTAATGTGGCGCTGCACTCTGATGTGGGAGAAAACATTTATTAAAAAGTCTATTTAATTAAGTAGAACGTGTTGTCTATATTTATTTAAAATTGCGCATTTTGATGTAACGGCACATTTCTCAAACCCCCCCCCCCCCCCCTCGTCACACATCGTCACAAATGTCTGACCCTCCCCCCCCCCCCCCCCCCCCCGCAGGTGCGTGACGTCATTTATGGACGGCCCCTAAGTGTCGGTGTTTGTAATACACGTGTGTCAGTGTCTGTGTTTGGACGGTGGCTCAGCGGTTAGTGTGCTGTGCTTCGAACCCCGGCGACCCGGGTTTGTTTCCTGTTTTAGCAAACATTGGTGACGATTATTTGATGCGGTGTGTAAACATCGCCACTGGGGATACAAAGGCGGCCGGGCGTGGTGCAGGCCACCCACCCCCATCGTGTGCCGTTCCGGCCTTCATAGGTGCTCGCTAACAGCACCTGCCCCAAGTCTGTTCAGGCTATATGTGGGATCTTTGCATAGTGAAGTGGGATGGGTGGGGCAGTGGTTAGCACTCTGCGCTGTCAACCTGGTGACCCGAGTTCTTTTTCCACTCATGGCTAACACGAGTGACGATTACCTGAACCGGTCCTAGACATCCCCTAGGTCTACTCAGCCTCAAATGAGTACCTGGTGTGGTGTGTAATCATCACCACTAGGGAGGCAGGCGGCTGGGCATGGTGCTGGCCACCTACCTCCTCGTGTGCTGTGCCGGCCTTCATAGGTGCTCGCTAATAGCACTTTCCCCAACAATCTGTTCAGGCTATACGGGGGATCTTTGTCTTTGTTGCGTGTGTGCTTAATTAGTGATGCTGTGCGTTTATGGTTGCCGTGGTTCAGGCCAACATCGTGGACTACACTGACAACCAGTGGGTGACCTGCTTCCAGGAGCAGGGGGAGAGCATCCTGGGCATGAAGACGGAGGTTCTCGGGGACCTTAAGGACTCGGTACGGGGTGCAGACATAGCTGTTAGGTCCACTCCAGATCCATTTCAGATCCACTCCATATAAACCCCAGATTCAGATGCACTCTAGATCCACTCCTAGATCTATTCCAGGTCTACTACAGATGCGCTGCCAGATGCACCCTAAATCCACTCCAGATCTACTCTAGATGCACTACTAGATCAACCCCAAAACCACTCAAGATCAAATCCAGATGCACTCTAGATCCACTCCTAGATCCATCCCAGATATACTTCAGATGCCCTCCCAGACCCACTCCAGATCTACTCCTGGATCAACCTGAGAACCACTCCAGATGAACACCAAATCCAGATGCACTCGAGTTCCACTCCTAGATTTGCACATGCATTCCCTGATCCACCCCTGATCCACTCCTGATCCACTCCTGATCCACTCCTGATCCACTCCCAGATTTACTCCAGCTAGTCCATAAGCAGCACTCTGGTGCTAAGTGTTTGGGGGCTACAAATGCAGCAGTGATGTTACTGTAACTGGCGATGCTGCTGCTGCTGCTCTGGTTGGTTAGTTGCCATGGAAACCGCTGTCTGCACCACGATCCCCACTCGGGCGCCACCACCTTGTGGTTGCGAAAAAACACAAAGGTCGCGCGGGAAGGAAGGCGTTGTGTGTTTTGTTATCACCGTGTGTCCTCAGTGGCGGGGGGTGGGGGCGGGCGCTGAAGATGCTGCTACTGCCGTTGAGTGACGGTCAACACACTACTTTAAAACTATTAAATATGTTTTATTTTACTAGGTAAGGCTCACTGAGATATATATGTAGATATTTTTCAGAGGCGACCTGGCCGCAGGATAGCTCAACAAAGTGGCTTATAACTTGATTTGGAGCTTTCGTTTCATCCCGTGGACATTTATAGCAGCCAAATACTTTTTAAGGGAGGACCCTCACAAATATACAGGCGTCAGGGTTGGGATCTTACCCACGATCTGTATACCAGGTGAGGCCGTTAATCTTACCATGATTGCACCATAGGCACTCGCTGATGACATTTGGCTCCCCCCCCCCCCCCTTTGCGATGGTCTGTGTTGCTATATGGGTGAACTTTATCTTGGTGGTGTTGGCCAACCACCCCTTGGGTGCTGTGCCGGCCTTCATAGGTGCTACTCGCAAAGGGCACTTGCCTCAACAGTCTGTTACAGGCTATACACGGGGGATCTTTTATCTTTGTACAGGATGACCAAGTCGCCTACGAGCAGGTCTTCCAGAACGCCAACTTCGCCACCTACATCTTCCGCATGCGGGTCAAGCTGGAGAATTACAACGTGAGTGGTGGGGGGGGGGGGCCTGGGGGTTGTGCGATGGGGGGGGGGGGTGTTGTCGTGTTACCTGGGAAAACCTCGGCCGAGTCTCCAGGCACATTGGTAGGAGGGTCCTGCCAAATTTGTTTTTTTTTGCTTGCAGTCGAGGGGGCGATGTTGCCGTTGTGCAAAATCCCAATTGGGCAATTTGTGGGTCATGTATATCAACCTTATCGTCTGGAAATGTATAGCAGCAGCCGAATACTCTTAAACGTGTGACGTGGATTCTAAATGTCGAGGGAAAAACCAGAAGACCTGGAGAAAAACCCACGTGACCGCGGGGAGAATCACTAACTCCAAATATAAAGCAGGTGTCGGAGTTGGGATCGAACCCCTAACCTCCTGCATACTAGGCGAAATAGTTAACATCTCGCCACTGCAGTGCCCCAAAATCTGACCCCTAACCTCTCCCGACCCCTTGTGTCTCCGCCAACAGGATGAGTCTCGCATCAAGATGACCATCTTGGAGGTGCGGCCGTGCGATCCCATTGAGCACAGCAAGAGGTTGATCACGGAGATCCGCAAAATGGTCCTGAGCGCCTGAGCCCGCTGCTCTGCGCCATTTGGTGTCATCGTGCCGGTGGGGTGGGGGGGGCGGGTTCGCCCACCGCCGCCCCCATCTGCTCCTCGCTCTTTTCGATCCATAGAGTTACTTTGTCGTCAGCCCACTTCTGGTTGAAGGCCTCCCCTTCACCCCGTGACACAGCCATGGGGCTTGTTTGGCGTTACTGCGCCATGCTGATTACTGCGGTGGCATTGGTGATGGTAAGTTGGGGGGGGGGGCGGGTGGGGGGCCCTCGGTCCATTGTAGATATCGCTCTCAATTTAGTGACGGTAGAACAGAACACGAGTTGGCGGCGGGTTCATAGCGCATTGCGCTGACCACTTCTCAGTAAGCTAAGCTTTAAAATAAAACTGTTCATTTTAGCAGGTGATGCCCACTGAGCTATTATACAGCTGCTTTGCAGAAGCGATCTGAACAGAATTTGATAGCTCAACGAAGTGGCTTTTTTTGCGTGGAAATTTATCGTAGCCAAATACTCTTAAACGCATGATGTTGATTCTAAATGTGGAGAGACAGACCAGAGAACCTGGAGAAAAATCCACACAACCACGGGGAGAACATGCAAACTCCAAATATGCAGCAGGCGTCAGGGTTTGGATTGAACCCAGAACCTCTTGCATACCAGGCCCCCCCCTGGCACTTAACATCTCGCCACCGTGGCACCCCTAAATAACGGTGGTAAAACAGTCCTTTTGCTTAACCCCGTACAGCGAGACTTTAAACAATGTAAACTTGTAAACTATGTCCCCAATTTCTCGTCAGATGCCTTGAGCGTTGCCGTGTTTCCTTCATCGTCGAGCACCGTTCTTAGCAGCCCTCTTATTTCACTTCAAATCGTTCTCACCCCAGCAACACCCGTTCCCAGGTGTTACGTTTGCACGCGTGGCTTTGTTACCTTTTTATTTGCGTTAACGTTTTTGTGTCGTCGGCTCGTTCCCAACGCGAGGTTCGCGGTTGTTGAATAAAGTTGGCGCTCGTAGCGGGCTGTGCATGCGCCGCTCATCCATCGCTTGGGCGTTGACCTGGCTAAACGGGGCGGAGACTGGGCTTCGTTTAAAAAAAATTGTTCCACCCAAGCCGACACGCTGAGCTCATTTGGCTTTGGGATCGTGATGTTTTTTTGCGTCATTTGCCAAGCTGCTTTGTGAACTTTGCTGTACTTATGCAGGAGCGCAGTACGTCACTTTGGGAATGCGACCTTCGTTTTGATGCGATCGTGGTTGTTGCGAGGTAAACGCCGTGGCTTTGGGTTTTTGTTGCAGGTGAAACTAACTCTTGTTCCCAGAACATGGGGAATGCAAACCTCCTGGACCTCAGGAAAATGTTTTCTGTTATATTTTGGTTCAAGTTTTTTTAAACCTGTTGATCCTTTACGGCATATTCACGCAACAATGACCCCATAATTGTTCCACCATGCCCCACGAAAAAAATACGTTCACCTCTTAAAAGTAAAGCGTTGAGGTCTCTCCGCGAATGAGCACGGGGTAGTTCCTCATTTCTCTCTCTCGCGCACGATCGTGTGTCTTGGGGGTTTGCGTACCGCGTGTTCATCACAACGTCCGACTTGAAGAAGCTCCCGGTGGCAAAACGTCCGGGGACGTTGCTCGCGTGCCAAACAACGTGCGGTAACAACCCGAAACCACAGCGCTGGAAGCTCCTCACTCCCTGTTGCGCCACGACCATTTGCAGATCCCGAAGGTGTTGGACGCTTTCCTAAATCTAGCAGACTCGCTCTCACGGTTCAAAGTTGTTGCTGTTTGGAAGCCACATGACGGCGTTCCCCTCCTCACGCGCGCCGTCGTCGTGCACGCTGCTTGAACGTGTGCCGTCTCTCCGCGCTCGCGTCTCCACGCGCGGTTCAACGCCACTACGGCGGTGAGGGCCGCGTCAAGGCCCTTCCCCCCAGGTCCCCCCCCCCCCCCCCCCCGTGCAGAGTTCCCTTTATGCGAGACGGTGTCGTCGAGTAACGCTTGTGCGTCTGCGTACTGCCGCCTAGATTATATTGTTTGTGTTTTTCCTATAAGTCTCAATAAAGACATTATTTCGTAAGTCACGTGTTCAGCGAATGCGCTGTGTGTGTGTCATCATTGGGCTACTCGCAATCGAGGATTATTGTCTTCAATAAATAAAAAGTTGGATTATCTGTGGGTCCGAAGATGTATCAAGAGACCAATCTGTGGTTGACAGATTCTGCCGCAGCTCGGGCACAACGTGTCCAGAGAGAGTGGTGGGTGAGACCAGTTCAGTAAGTCGGGCTGCAGCGTTGCTGTTTCTGCCGTAGAGTTTCAAAATGTTTGGATCCTTGTAATAGACTCTCCAAGAATCTCCCACGAGTTCGTGTCGACAGAGCATTTCTTCATCTTGACATCCTTGAAGCGCGTTTTCTGCCCAGCCTCTTGAACGCCACACCGACTAAGCTGGAAGGAGAAGACTTTGCTGCTTCGCGAGTCTGGAGTTAGGCAGACGGACGACGTGGCCGACCCAGCGAAGCCGACGTCGAATGATCGTGGCCTCAATGCTCGTGGTGTGTGTTTGCGAGATGACTGATGTCAGTTCGTCTGTCTTCTCGATTTTAAGGATCTTCCGTCGGCAGCGTCAATGATACTTGAGCACTTTGAGATGTCTCCTGCATGTTATCCACGTCTCAGCTCCGTACAGTAAGGTAGAGATTACAACTGCTTGATAAACCATAATCTTGGTTTTGGACCAATTTCCTCAGCCGACTGAAAGCTGCACTTGCACATTTCAGGCAATTTTGGATTTCTTTGTCAACAGCATTGTGTGAAATAAGGCTTCTGAGGTATGGGAAATGCTTAACATTCTCCAGAGTCTCAACGTGGATGTAAATTGTCGGAGCTGGGGACTGCTCATTGATAACTGGTTGATGGAGGACCTTCGTCTTTAAAATATTAAGCATCAGTCTCGTTTTATTCATATGCCTTAGGGGCCGTCCATAAATGACGTCACTCGATTTTGGACGATTTTTTACCCCCCCCCCCCTACGTCACACGGCGTCACAAAGAAGTCAGACCCCCCCAAATATGACGTCACAAAGCTCTGCCCCCCTCCAAATAAAACCATGCTTCAAATCGCTTTAAGCTATTGTCATTGTAGTGCGTATTTAATGTGGCGCTGCACTGATGTAGGAGAAACATTTATTAAAAAGTCTATTTAATCAAATAGAACGTGTTTATATTTAAAGTGGCACATTTTGATGTGACGTCACATTTCTCAAACCCACCCCCCTTGTCACACATCGTCACAAATGTCTGACTCCCCCCCCCCCCCCCCTAGGTGCGTGACATCATGTATGGACTGTCCCTTAATAAAAGTTTTGATTTCCTGAAGATCCGCTTCTGAGTGGGCACACGACAGCGTCGTCAGCATAATGGATCTCAACTGCTGTCGGGATGGTTTTAGATCGAAGTCTGTTGATGTTGAACAGATTGCCATCCATTCCGTAGCTCAGCTTCTCAAAGTTTGCCGGCAGTTAGCTCTGGCATTGCGCCAAGGAATATTGAGGAGTGTTGGGACTGCTGGATGGCATCGCTAACAAAGCACTCGGTTGTTCAACAGGCCAGGGTAAACAACAATCACTCCTTTGAGGATGAGTAAAATGAGCACCATTTTTGCGAGAGTAAGTCACAGAGAGGGGAGACGCAGCAATGCAAATTGAGTCCAGTAATATCACAAGAACAGATCGTGTTTCTCAGAAGAGCTAATGAGTTGCAAAGTGTCAGCTTCCATTCGTGTCTAATTAGTATTTATTTCATATTTTATTTTTTACTTAGATTACCCCATGATTGCGCCCACTGATGCAAAGCTCTCTGTGAAACGTATTACAACGAACCACATTTATTTGCATCGGCGAAAACTCGCCTCTAATCCACAAAGCCGACCATCTCTCTACCCCCCCCCTCGCCTCCCCTCGACAGAAGGGTCACGACCCAAAACGTCTGCTATTGTACCACACTGTTACAAGGCAGTGGTAACGTCCAACGTTGCGCGGTTTTAATTTGTTCTGGCCGCACCGCCGCTGGACCAGGCCACCTTAACACACGCGAGGTGTCCCATCCCCAGGGGTTGTTAGGTGGGATGTTTTAATGAATGAAGCGAAATTTCCGTTTTAATTTCCTGCTGTAATCCAGCACTCATCAGCATCGCAGCTTCCCCCTCCCCTTGTTCCCTGCGAGCTCAATTCCCCGCTGGTGTGTTCCCGTGCGCGTCTCGCGCGAGTCATCCCGTGAGCGTCTCTACCACCTGTTCACGTGTTTCGAATGCTCATTCCAAGACCGCAATTATAATATATATTCAAATATGTTCAAAATGTCCCCCCCCCCCCACAATATATTGCTATAAACAATATTTAAAACCAAAAATGTCTATGCTATGTAAATAAAAACATAGATTTCTGTTTATATGATTGTGGTTATGGTTGTACTTTATAAATCCCTAATCTGTCATTACATACAATGAAACAAGAAAAGGTTCTCCCACCTGATGATGATTGCTTGTGTTGCGATCGAAACGTGATTTCTTTTATTCTATACCGACGTGACTTTACCGAAAGAACCAAAGAGTATGGATTCCTGCAGTCACGAAAGCTTCAAGTCAAGATAGAGCAATGTAATACAATACACTATTTGACATTGTAACAAAAATTTAATAAAAAGTCCATCCCATATGCGAGTGAATTTTTTATATTTTAGGCAGGAAATCTGTTTTCAAATTTAGATTTTTTTTTCTGGGGGGGGGGGGCTAGATCCCCTGGAAGATTTGGTCCCCCCCAATGTTGCCTCCATGGCTACGGCCTTGGCTCATTCCGTGTGGCTTCTAATTGCACGCACGCGCGCGTGGCCACTTCAAGTCGCCTTCGCTGCTGGCTCAAGTCCCCCAGCACCTGCGGACATTTAGTCGAGCACGCCGTCCCGCTGGTCAGTACGTGTCAGGCGCATAAGTGTGGCACCGTAGTACAGTACAACAGTTGCTTCTAACTCGCAATGCCCTCTCCTGCCTGCCACGTGGCCCTGCGACCTGTGGCACGTGCGTGTCGAGCAAGGCGGCCGCCCGTCCCGTGCACTCCCCGGGGCTCAACGCCGATTGGCTTCCGAGATCCGGGCGCCTTCCACGTGGGTTTCGTCAAAGGCGGACGGCAGTTTCACTCGAATTAAAGACGCGAGCTGGAAACCCGCACACGCCGCTCCACTGCTGGATGGAGACGATTATCTGACCAAGCCTCGCCGTTCTTTGTTCATTCGTTCAAAATGACGCTCGCACCGGGCCCTGTTAATCCGAGGCTTTATTACGGGGTAAGTGGTGATGGAATGGTGTCACACGGAGTTTCAAAGTGCTGGCAACACACATACACACACGGTGGTCAGCGCCACTCCCGTCGCGTTTGATGTCGTCAACCCTCCAGCGGGCGCCGTGGTTGTGTTCGTCCCACGGGGGTGAGATTGCACCGCCTGCCTACACAACGGCGACGTGCACCGACTCCCAAAAGAGAGAGAACATCTCCCACAAAGCACCAGCTGTAGCTGGTGCAGCTGCTGCTGTAGAGGAAGTTCCACTGAAAACGGGGGGGAGGACGTCGTTATCGGGAGAGACGCCGCCGAAGAAAACCGCGAACAGCGATTTAAAGCAAAGGGGTCAATTCGTTGCACGTGCGCGGATTCTTTTAACGCTTTACAACGTTTTACTTTGGGGGGATGGATGGAGGGAGGAGGGGAGGGGTGGTTATTTAATGGGCGGCGATGATGACGCCGTTTCGCCTAAAAACGTCGACGGGGAGCGGACGAGTGCGTGGCGTGACGTCAAAGCGAATTGTCACGTGAACGGAACGTGCACATTGGTGACTACTTCGGCACCACCGGGTTGTGTTGGAGAGCAAAACCACAACATTTACAATCGACGGATCGATGTCTCGCTGGTGGTTACAATCAGCAGCATCAGGCGTTTGCCAGAAGTAATACATTGGGCACGTTCTGATCACGTGACAAACCTTAATGGATTTAAAGCTTTCGTGATTGCAGGGATTCATATTCTTAGTTCTTTCGGTAAAGTCACGTAGAAGGGAAAAAAAAAACAATAAAATTCTCACGACGTTTCGATTGCAACACAAGCAATCATCATCAGGTGTGAACACCACAAGAAAATTTAAAAAAAAATTCTCACGTCGTGAGAATGTTTTATTTTTATTATTTTATTTTATTATTTCCCTTCTACGTGACTTTACCGAAAGAACCAATAATATAAACCTTCATGGCTTTCTTGCGTGGATGTGGGTGTACAACAGTTACATTTACGCGATATCTAACCCAAAAAGTGAATACTATTGGTTGCGAAAGTCGCCTTTGTGTTAAAGTTATTTGACCACACTTCACCACGGTGGTCAAGTGTGGGTCAATGTATTTAAGGGGCTTGACGCGGGAGCATTGAAGTGCAGTACAACAATGGATTTTGCTGCACGGGCCTCGCTGTTGACAACGTAGCCCCCACAGCAGCAGCTTGCTGACAACCCTGTTGCTTCACAGAACAACTCGGGAGTTGCCACCTGTCCCGGTTTTCCCAGGAGGCAGCTGCTCCCATTCTGGCAAATCTTGTCAATCTCCCTGTAACCTTACAAGTCCCTGTTTTTATTTATTCACTGGAATAACAACAATGATAATAATGCACCGATTAATCGATGAGTTCACACACAGCGCTCCCATTTTCTGATATCGTGAGAGATTCCTCTTTACCATGATGTGTCCTGACATGTTTTTGTTATCTCGGAGGTCGCGACTCTAACGGTGGGGTCGCTATGGGGAAGACACGAGTGATGGATCTGGACCGATGCGGGCAGTGTGCGTGCAATAACAACGGCTCTGGCTAAAAGTACAACATCCCCACCTGATGAAGGATGCTTGTGTTGCGCCCGAAACGTCGTGATTTAATTTAGTTGTTTTCACTTTATTTTTATTTTCACCCACGTGACTTTACCGAAAGAACCAAAGAGTATGGATCCTTGCAGTCACGAAAACTTCAAATCTAGAATTAAGTACAAACTC